ATTTTTTCAAATAAAATATTCAAATATTGTCGTTCATTCATTGATAATGAATAATTTTTATCGGGTTGATTTTGATTTAATAAAATATTTTCTTGTGTTTGATTAATAAATGATATTCCTGAATAAAAACATTTATTAAAATCAAATTTATATTCCGCTAAAAATTTGATCGATGATGATTGAATAATATATTTAACATCAATTGGATTAATTGATGTTGGATTAAGATAAAAATTATATATTGTAACATGATATTTATGTTGAATAGATGTTGTAGAAAATATTGCAAGACCAAATTGAAATATCGTTATTTGTTTTACAAAATTTGAACGTTGTTTATAAAATTCTTTTATTGTTTTTATTGAAAGATTTGTATCAATTGAACTAAATTCTGTATCAATAGCAAGAAAACATGATTTATCAATTTGTTCGATAATTAATGGAAATAATTCCAAAAAATTCGATGATGTTACTTCACACATGAGTATATGAGTTATTTTGTTTTTGTCTTGTATAAAAAAAATGGACAACAACAGATGAAAATAAATGACTGGAAAAAAAAAGAATGAATGAATAAACATAATAAGCATTAGAGATAAGCCAATAAGAAAAAAATATTTCTTTTTTGTTTTATTTACAAATAAAATATGGAAAATATTATTAATAAATCATATTCATTTAGAAAAAAAAGATATTTAAAAATAAATGTAAACTGTATACTAGTGCCATCTATCGCTATGATGGGATATATAGATGTACATTAGTAATACGAAACAAGATAAAATGATAAATAGAAAAAAGATATATCTTTTGAAACATGAGAATAACAATCTTGATCGTAATTGAAGTAATAATTCAGAAGGAAAATAAATGAATAGTAGATTATTGATATAATCGGAAGTTTTAAGGGTGGGAGAGAGATAAGAATTCATGAAATTTATTTGATAGAAGAGGTTACAATGAGAAAATATATCGATTTATCGAGTGCTGTTCGATCCTATTATTATTTAGCCATAAAGAGAAATTAATGTGGGGAAGAAAGATGTAAACGGATCTGTAGCTATGGCCTATTACTCATTCTAACTAAAGCTTCTAACAGATAAAAACAAACTGGTAGGTGTAGTTTTCAAAATAATCTATTTTTTATAATGGATATCTTTACATAAGCGGGGTATTCAGTAAAACGATCATTTAGTTTCTTACTATATAAATGTCTATGAGTACAGATATTTTTAGCGATTTTTACTCTTCATAAGTTGTACTGATCCGTAAAATATGAGATCAAATAGGAACCGATATTTTGAATAGATTTCCTTGTAGGTCTTCTTTAGTCATTTGCTTATAATTATCATGAAAAAAGAATTCTTCACAAAGTCAGTTTTATTTTTCAAAAGTATAGAACTATAAGTTATATTCTCTATAGTATCATATGACACTTAAAGTAATTAACAGGAGTCTTCTGATATAAAAAAAGAACTTCCAATGACGATAGAGAATGTCAAATCCATACATTTTTCTTATCTACGTAGAAGTATTTTATGTTGTTCCCTATGTGGTGACAGGCACATGATAAATAGAAATGTTTATTTGCAAAAATTCGAAAAAAATTTAATCAATAAAAGAAGCAGATAGATTACAAGAGAAAGATGCCTCATTATGTAAAACGACAACTTCATCCGTAAATATATAGTAAAGATATATAAAGATGTTTAAAATTTGTTTTTCATGGATGAACTCATGTAATATCTATGTCAGATCTATTTCTCACTAATTATATCTTTTACAAAGTTCCTTGTTTTCATCAATGATTTATCTTCTTTATATATCTCATATCGTAGGGTACGCATTGTGACACAATCAGCTCTACTGATCATTATTTACCCTCAGGCAACTTCCTTAGTTCTATAAATGATTGCATTGAATACTCGGCAGTTGAGTAAACTGATGATAGTAATACTAACAGTGACCAAAGTGAAAGTGACAATTATAAGATGCTTTAGTTTTCTGTGTATTACAGATGTTTTCATTGTTCATTTTGCCTTTAATACAAAACATATTCTTCAATCATCTTACTTAAACTGTTGAATTAATTCAAAAATACTAAATGCTATGTGAAATATCTATTCTTATCCACAAGTCGACATATTACATACTTCAGTAGATCAACTTATAATTATTCAAAAGAGACACATATATCATTGTCGTATCGATCAGATTAGATAAATATCATATTGTCATTATAAAAACTAACGCACAAGATACCGAGTTGTAAAGCTGACGTTAAACATAAAAATATTCGATCGTAATGATAAAGAGATGAAAATTATATCATTGCTGTAGCCCGTGAAAAACTGCAACATTATCTTCTATTAGCTTAGAGTCGAAATTTTTTGAAAGAAATCTTGGCTCGTCGTTGATAGCAGGAAATTACGTGAAAAACTAAAATAGAATCTACCACTAATTCCAGACACTTCAAGGCTGAAATATAGAAATGGAAATTTATTTGTGTCTGGTCTACTTGTCTGCCCATAACATGATACAAAGTACTATTTAAATCGAGTACAAATAACTATTTGTAAACAACGAAAAGTACCACATATCTATCGTACAAAATAAAAATGAATTATTGAGTATTGACAGGAGCAATTATCTAACAAGATATTTATCATGTTGTTATCAACGTCAAGTTATGTTGCATGATGACTGTTTTTTTAATACTAATTTAAATAATATTAATTCAACCAATATAATATGTTTTTGACAATATATTTGATAAACCTTAATCTCTCTATGGACGAAAAAGCAATACCAATAATGAACAATTAATTAGTATTATATCTTTAAATAAAAATATGGTGTCGAATGAAACCGACACAGTAGCTAAATGAACTAATTTTTATTTGTTTTTGAAAAACAACCAGAATAGTCATGCTTAAATATCGCATATTTGATATATGCTCTTTTTCTTGAATAGAAGACATAAAATTAAAAAATTCAAACATCTGTTCTTTCGTATGCATTTATTTATTTTTTACGTTTGTTTTTTTCTATATCAACAGATAGAGATATATGCATGAATATTTGAAATTTAGAACAGTTTGCATCAATTGAATGAGCTTGGAATAATGATCATTATATCTAATTTGAGTATGAGGTTTTTCTACTAAATTGAAGAGATATCATAGTGTGAGGGAATGCGAACGTGACGAAAACCGGTACGGATCGATAGCTATGAGTGGGTGGATTTCTGATATACGTATATGACACTCATACCCACGCTCACCAGCAATGGATCATTGGAGAAGCAGATAGAGAAATTGTTCCACTTTGCGGAGAAATGGTTCAACCCAAAAAAGTAATACATTAAAGAGAAATGGAAAACACGAAAGCGATATCTATTTAATACCTTATTCGATACCATACAAAGAGACATCCTTCTTTTCACATGAGAAATCGTACAAACGTGAGTATATATGAATTCAATATTGAATTCAATCCGATATGAATCCTATTTCTTAGAGAGACATCCTTTATTCACATTCCGTTTCTTCTTATGAGTAAAGGTATGGATGAATCATTTCACCTTGACAAGTATTCATCTCTGCTGCTAAAAACTATAACTACTAGAGTATCCTCTTAGAGTAAAGAAGTAAAATGAATCATATATCTCTTTATACATTTTCCATCTCTCCTTATGAGTGGAGATATGGATGAATCATTTCATCTTGACAATTAGTCATTTCTCCTGCTAAAAAACCATATCTACTAGAATATACTTTTAGAGTAAAAAAGTAAAATGAATCATATATCTCTTTTTATATTTTCCATCTCTCTTTATGAGTGGAGATATGGATGAATCATTTCATTTTGACTATTAGTCATCTCTGCTGCTAAAAAAAGCATATCTACTAGAGTATCCTCCTAGATTAAAAAAGTAAAATGAATCATATATCTCTTTACATATTTTCTATTTATCGATCGATGAGTCAAGGAAAAGTGGTAAGCTAGTATAGGCTAAACGTGCTTTGCTAGTACAATAGTTGAATTTTCACCTTCTTTTCCCATTCAGTATTTACATTTCTAGATAATTTTTTCATTAAGTACCGACCATTCAATATTTCTACTGATCCTCTATATATTTTTTACTGACCTAAAAATATATTACCACATATAAATAATATCATAAAAACGAAATTTTGTACTTTTTTTAAAATACAACAATTGTTAATAACAAAGAAACAATTAAAAAGTTAGTGCATATGAAATATTTCCAACTGTAAAACCATTAAGCTCTCTAATAACTTAAGATGATAATATCTGCAAGATCATTCGATGTTTTTCTTTCCACATATATTTTCAGTTATCATTAATTAAATAGAAATATTCATTTGGATTTTATAAATTTTATTCTATAACATTATTTCTTGTTATATAAAGAATCATTTCACTATTAAGATACATATTAAATGTTTCATGGAATCCTACATGTTCGCAAATCGCCTGTTTATATTGATCTAAATATGTTCGATAACGTTTGCCTTGAATACTTTTAAATCTATACATTGTTCGACCTGAAAAACATGATTGAACAGGAATAAGTTCATCATTACATGAATAATGTCGAAAAAAACTTGACCACATATCATTATAAGCCACAGTCCAATTTTGATTTTGTTTATCTTTATGTGCATATGGATCAAAATAAGTTTGATATCTAATTAAATTTAAAAATATACTCTTATAAAACTGCCCATTTGCACATATAGCATCAATAGTTAAATCATTTTGAAAATAAAATCCTGTTGAAAAAAATCCATTTAAATACGTATATGATGTTAAATCAAAATCTTCAACAAGAACATAATCAAATTGTTTTAATAAAGTATGTTTTTCAATGTAATTTAAATAAATATTTCTTAATCGAACCATTTTTTCAATACGATCTATATATGGAATAGAAGATCTTTTAGTTGCAGGAAGCGACATATTACATGGATGAATATTATTTACTAAATCACCACAACCAATAACATGAATATGTGAATTTATATTTGCCCATTCAACTAATTTTTCTCTTGTATGATCTTTTGAATCATCTTCAACAATAACAATAGCATAATCTGCAAAAAGTTTTGTTAACGAATTTAATTGGTTAATTAAACGTTTGATATGTAATTCACGATCGCGTATTAAACCACAAATAATAATTCGACTTTTAGAAAAATGTTTTCGACCATGTTCAATTCGAGTTTGATTTATTTTTGAACATTCAGGTATTCGAGATAAATAAACACTAGAACTTTGAAAATGACCTGCTCGTCTAACAGTACAAAGATAATAGAAAATAAATAATAAAATCGTAAATATTGATATAATATATGTTGTTAAACAACTTCGTCGATAACTACGTTCAGCAGTATTTAATGGAGAATCAAGAACTTTCATTGTTCGAAGTTTTTTAAAGAAACATTGATATTTAAAACAAATATAAGTTGTGATGATTGTTTTTTTTTTT